GTTTTTCATCTTATTTTCCTACAAATTATGCCCCGAAACACCTTTTTTGACCAAACTAAAGTTATATAGCATCATTAAAGGAATTCATTTCTTGATTTTGATAAATCTGTAGGCACCCTTCATTTACTAGATCTTGACCTTAAGGCGGTGCACTTACGTGCTAAACACCCTAGGATATTGACCAAAAGGCATCTGTGTGATGATGCACGGCCAAATTCCCAGATCTGAATCTCATTGAACACATTTGGGATTTTTATAAGGAATGTAAAAGCCCCCCCCCCCCCCCTTCCACACAATTTCAACGGTTTGGAAAGATCTATGCAGTAGGTGTGGCAGCAAATGGACCAATCTCCTATTCAGGGGTACATGGTATAAAAACAGTAAAAATTGTCGTAGTAATTAGAGAGAGAGTGGTGGCCTTACTCCATAGAGATTTTTTGCGTGAATTTTCATTTTGAGGGTACATCATTAACTTGACACTTTGCTTAAAATTCTTACGAGATACTTACATGAAATCTACGCAACATCGAACTTAAATATGCATCATTAACCATGAATTAAATAAATCATTTATTATATGCATTTGTTCTTTAAAACTTAAAAAAATTAGCTGAACACTTAGAAGTTTGGTTCAGTGTAGTTCTGTGAAAGTCCGTTCTTATTTTAGAATCTAATGACTAGGTTTGAATAAAAAAATAAAGAAAGTGTTTCTTTTGATTGAATTATTCACGACTGTGATATATAATTAAACCATTTACCCCATTTTAGATCACGTTAGTTTTTGTCGGTTGTCGATTTTCGTGGGACTTGCTTCAGTTCTTGACACTTTAAGCTTCTATTGAAACCCTGAACAAATTTTTAATAATTTTGGCATATAGCATCAATGGGTGAAGGAATAAAAAATTTTCATCGCCCCTGCTACCATGGGCCCAAAGGGGAGGGCTTATATACCATAAAACTGGTGATTTCTTTAAAAACATTTTACTCCTGGACGTCAAGCAGTCCATTGTTAGCATGATTGTAATTAAGAAATTAAGGTCTTCTCACACGAAATACAATTGTGAAATATGAAAGCCCTAGCACTACCTGTTCAAAATTTAAGGAAAAGGATAAAGTTTTTAACTCACCTGAGCCGAATGCTCAATTGAGCTTTTCAAATCAAAATTTATCTGTTGTCTGTCGTCGTTGTTTTTGTCGTTGTTTGTGTCGTCGGCTATGTCGTTGTAAACTTTTCACATTTTCTTCTTCTTCTCAAGAACCACTGAGTCAATTCCAACCAAAGTACCATTGGGTAAAGGGGATTCAAGTTTGTACAAATAAAGGGTCACCCCATTTCAAAGGGGAGATAATTATGAATTAGTGAAAAATTAATGGCTTCTTTAAAAAAATCTTTTTCTCAAGAACCGCTGGGCCAGAAAAGATGAAACTCATGTGGAAGCATCTTCAGGTAGTGTGGATTTAAGTTTGTTCAAATCATGAACCCTGGGGTTAGGGTGGGGCCACAATTGGGTATCAAAATTTAACACATGACTACATAGGAAAAATCTTTAAAACTCAAGAACAGCAAAGTCATGACTAGTCATACGAGGGCTGTTTAATAAATAATGTCCTGGGTGCTCGGAAAGAAGCAAAAGACGCTTTTCAATGATTTAGTCTTAATGATTTAACTTAAAATTTTCTTTTATTTAAAACACATGTCCGTAAAAATTTTTATTCAATTTCTGATTGTTTTTAGAACTCATATTTGGGTATGTCCCTTTGTATACTGGAAAATGGCAGATCTTATGATTTCCTGGGCTCGTTTCTTCCTTCTGAAAGAACCCTTACTGCTCAATGGCCCTGAGTGCCGAGTGAGGTCAAAATTTGAAGCCCTTCACCAGCATACGGTGACGTCTCCATATGAATGAAAAACAAGTATATACTGACAAAACGTCAGAAATACTCAAGCTGTAGAAAGTCAATTAGGAAGTGTTATTAATATACTAAAATGGTATAAGATGAGGGCTATTGAGTTCAATCTTATGTTCAATAAACTACATGTACATGAAACAAAATTCATCTATTGAATTTAATTAGAAGAAATATTATTAATACCGTACTACTTTTTAAGATGAATTTACGTGACACACTTATTTTAGGAATGTTTTATAGAGCATAGTAACGTTGCCGTTTCTTAATTAATGAAATTATTTTTTTGTAGACTTTTGCATGATATACTGCACGCTATATAAGTTTTTGTATTTTTTGCTTAATGACGTACATCGCATTCAATACATGACATCAATCTAAATCGCTTGCTACAAGCCTGTAGAAAAGTTGTTTTTTTTCAAAAAGGAAGGGGGGCTTCAGGCTCCGAAAAATCCACGTGATAACGCTCCGGATCGTGGCTTGAGACGATGGGCTAGCTGAGCAGCATGTCCTATTATATATTCCTTATGAATCCAAAAGAATTTCGTATAAAAAAGGTTCCGTTACTAAAGCTAAAGATAAAACGAGGATTTAACATTGATTTTGTGCTTTTATTTTCCTGTCACTCAAAGTACACATCATTTGCAGGGCATGCAGGCCCGTGAAAAGCAATTTCAGTTAGGGGGGTACAGCCATACATTTTCTGGCCATGCATTGTAGAATTTGTTAATGATGGTACATGTATAACCTGCGTCACCTTTCAGAGTCTGCAGTGGACTCGTCCAAGGATGCTTCATCTGCGACTGTAAAAAGTTACCTGAGATTCCTACGCACAGGAAAGCGCGAAAATCTCTGTATAGATACGGATGCGGCTGCGGAGCTTTACTCATTGTTCATTCGCCATAAAATAGAATCCGATATTCAACACTTAATATCGTTGAACATACAGACGTTTTCAAGATAAGCTTCATTTTTGTTTCTAGAAATATCTTTATCTACAAATATGATATATTTTTGTGTTTTTAAACTGAGTAAATCTAGGACCTAGCATCGTTTTAGATAACTCAAGCCCCTCTAGGGCTTGAGTAATTATCGGGAGGGACGTTAAACAATATACAATCAATCAATCAATCCTTCTGAAAGGTGTTTTTTCAAGTTTGGAAAATGACACAAGCCAAACGGTGACAGATCTGGCGAATGTCAATCATACATCATCAGTGATTTATTGTTGAAATTTGTCAAACAGTACATTATTTGTTATTATTCTTTGTTGGCAAGGACGGTACCCATTTTTGATGCCCATTATATAATTTTTTATCATTGAAATCCACCTGCCCATTTGTCTATAAAACAGACACTGGTTGCCGTAAATTTAACATATTTCACTGAATATTTCTTTGGGATTCTTAACGAGTTTTCAAGCAGCTTTAATGAAGCCTTTATTTCACTCTAAGTTTACCGATTCTTTACCATTCATATATAATGCGGTGTCTCGAATAGCCCTTGTTTTCCAGCCTCTCACAATGAAACTATGTGATGAAAAAGGTTCGCATAAATTGTTATAAATTCACTTAAGATTCAATAATGCGAAAAAGTCAAGCTTAATGTCATATGATATCTGTAATGTATGTTATACAGTTCAGGACATTATTTATTGAACAGCCCTCGTAGTTATATTGAGGCATCATCTTGTAGTGTAGATTCAAGTTTGTCAAAATCATAACCCCTAGGGCCATAAGCGTAATCAAAGTTTTAAGAAGTACTATAGGAATATATAGGAAAAATTGTTAAAATTCTTCACAAGAACAGCAAAGCCATCATTGATCATCAATTTAAATGCATAAAAAAGGTAATGTAGATTGATGTCCAAACGTTGATGACGTTGTTAAAAAATAGGTCAAACTCCAAGGTCAATCATGACCATGCAACCAGGAGAATAGAGGAGCCATTAAAGTGGGTCATAGTTATACAAAGGAATATAAATATTATATCAATTAAAAAAATTTTCTTATTATTAATAGCAAAGCTATTATGTGTCATAATAATAATACAAAAGCATCCGTAGGAAGTATAATTTTAATTCTTTTCAAATACCCCTTCTCCCCTGAAACCACTTTTATATTACATCCTCTTGTAGTGTAGATTCAAGTTTGTCAAAATCATAACCCCTGGGGCAAGGGTAGGGCCATAAGCGTGATCAAAGTTTTAAGAAGTATTACACAGAAAAAATCTTTAAAATTCCTCTTGAGAACAGCACAGCTGATTGTTCATATCTAAAATTTATATGGAAGCATCCTTGGGTAGTGTTGATTCAAGTTTATTCAAATCATGACCCTTGAGGTGGAAGGGGGCCACATAAGTATGATTTTAATTTTTTTCAAATACCCATTCTCCCCTGAAACCACTTTTATATTTTAACCTTTCAATACTGAACTGATTTTTGCTTTTATCTAGCCAGTTGCTCAGGTGAGCGATTTGGCCCCTGGGCTTCTTGTTGAAAGGAAGGTCAAACTCCTGGGTCAAGGTCAAAGGGTCAAAGTTGTTGGTTTCTAAAGAAAGGTCTTGTCACAAGGATTATATACCGGTATGTGAAGTATGAAAGCCCTAGCCCTAACCCTAAAAAATTAATATCCAAAGTTCACGTTCTTTAAAGAATAGGTCAAACTCCAAGGTAAAATAGTCAAAGTTCTTGGTAATCAATGAAAGATCTTGTCACATTAGCCGTAATTTTGAACAGGTGATGCTAGGGTTTTATATTTCACATTTGTTATATATAATACAACATTCTATGAAGTATAAACCTCTGCAGGGGTACCGGTACACCACAAATGTTATGATCTTCAGATATAGTTATTTGAAGATATATATACATTTTTTTGCTCCCGCTTCGTTAATGGGGACATATAAAGTCTATCACTATAAAGATTTTTAATGGTTACGGAAGATAATTGAGTGTCCAAAAAATATAATGCTGTAAAGTACCTGTATTTGTATAGAACTTAATTTAAATTCTAATGGTGATATGTTATTTTTTAATTATACAGAAAAACAATACTTTTTTTAGGTGTGTTTTCAGAATGTAACATCTTAGAAGTGGCGAGATGTTTTCAATCATTTAAAATGCCAGAAAGTATGGAATCAGCGTCACTGCAAGATTTGGAGAACCTTTGCGCGTGAGTAGTAGTACATGCATTTTGACATGCATTTCTATCACTCGCACTTAGAAATTTATTTATTATTTTGGCAACTTGATTGTCAGTAAATATTGTCAATACAATAAAGCAAAGAATAACAAAATTATACATGATATAATGCCAATTTTTTTTTAGCTCATTCTTTTGTGATAGTCGGGGCAGCATAATTGCTCAGCCTTTAGCCTCTTTGGTGTTGGCAATCACAGGTTTATGTTTTCGAGGTAGATTTCTCTCCGATCCATGTGTTAATCAGCCTAGCTTATTAATTGAGACTGATTATCTACAAAGCATTACACTTGGGGGAAAGTGGACGACCAGCCACTTCCCTCCTCTCTTTTTTACCCAAAGCCTGTTGAAAGTTTGATTCTACAATAGTCAAGTTGCAGGTGATGCATTTTTGGTTCAAACTGGCGAGGTTCATTTTGTAGAGCCGATTTAGGTTTAACCTTAGGAGCAGGTCTATCTCTTAAGTAATCACATACCAAATACTGCTTTTAAAACATGGATGGATGATACATCTCGTACTAGACTTTTTATACCCCCGCAAACGAAGTTTAGCGGGGGTATATTGGAATCAGCTTGTCCGTCTGTCTGTAGACAAGAATTTATCCGGACAGTTTCTCATAAACTATTGGATGGATTTGTCTGAAAATTTGTACACTTATTATTCACCACATGAAGGTGTGCACCTGGTATTTTCATAATGATTTTTGTGCATTTTACAGGCATTTTTCTTTTTTATTTTGTTGTTTTGTTTTGCTCATAATTGGAAAACTATTAGACTTACAATCATCAAACTTGGCCAATTTATGCATGTTGGATAGAAGGTGTGTCATGACCTATTTCAAGGTCACCGTGACCTTTAATTAAAGTGACATTTAAAAAAAACTTTTTTTTCTTTTACTATTGAATTACACAATCCCAAAAATGTAAGACTAGTGCAGTATCCCTATTTAAAACATGTTAAATTAAGAAAATATTTTTTATCATTATATACTTTACAGCAATCCATAACAAATTTTATTTTATAAGAGAAAATCTACCTCTCCCAAGGATAGATTTACTTCTCTCTGATCAATCAGTTATCTGTCTCTTGGGAACTGGGCTAAGGAATCGTCCTTAAATAGTTTTAGTGACTATCCTAGCTTATTTATTGAATTTGAGAAAAAGCAACTTCAAACTAATTTGATATTGTATATAATAAACTATGAAATTGCATAATAAACTTAACTGATATTTTATAAATAAATATAATTAAAACTTATTATATTGTGTGTATGGGGAGGGGGGTGTTATTGGAATCAGCAGGCCCATTCTCCCTATGAATTTCAGGAGAAAGTTAAGATCCATTCATCCCTTGATAGTAATTAGTGGACATGCATCCAGTCAAAGATTAATTAATGAGTTCTATGTAGGGAAGCTAACTGTCTCAATCATTTCTGTAAGAGTGTATCTCTTATCAAGCAGCTCTTATCTAATTCCTTTGGGAATTAGACAGAAGTGCTGGTCAGTTTAAATAGCATTTGTCATTTGATGGCCAGTCTCCTATTTTTAAAATCAGTTTGGTATAAATTAAGTTTTTTAGATTAATTAGTTAAATTGATCTATTTTTTAAATATATATTTTTTAAAAATATCAAGCGAACAATTTCAAATCACTATGTCCCACATGAAAGATATGTGTATGTTTGTAGAGACTCCAATTGTTTCTAAGAAAATAGTGAACACCTTTGATAGATCCATAAATATTTTTTAAAATTGCACCTTCTCTAGAGAACCCGCGGGGGTATATTTTAAGAATGCTTGATCTGTCGTACTTTTTTCGATGAGTGGCAAGTTTAATTATTTCTAAAGAAGGTCAATTTCCAACGTCAAAAAGTCAAAGTAATGAGGTCAAATGTTTAAGATGCCCACGCCAAGGTTGAATTCAAAAGCAGAAAAAGAAAATTACGGACAATCCTATTTGAAATTTTAAAATGTATGATGTCAACAGGAATAGCTTATCACAAGGAATATACTCATAAAATATGAATGCTCTTATCTTAATCGTAAAAAGTTCAAATCAAGGTTTAAGTTTTTGCTGACAAGCAGACAATCTAAAATATCTATATTCCCTAGATCTTCATTTTTGAGGGATAAAAATTGTACCAATAATAAATCATAACCCAATCAATTAACATCCTAAATTTTATTTCATAATTACCAGCCGCCAGGAGGTGGTCGGTAATTTGATGTCGTCTTGCGTTTCTGGCTTTCTGCGGAGTTAAAACAGTTTAAATAAAAAAAATTAACATTAGTATAATAGAATTTTAAAACAGAGTGTTTAAATATTTAACAAAATACGCACAACAACCATAAAATTAAAATTTTGTAAATACGGGGTAAATGTTTCATCCAATCCTGATTGACAAACTCTGACATAACTGAGGTGCGGAGACAAAGAGCACACTTGTTGGCCATGGTCAAAATCAAAGACGCGTTATACAGTACACAAGTATAAACAATTTTACTTTCTCTATTTAAACAGGATTTGTTGAACATGTTTTAAATTGCCGTGTATATATATACATTTCAGAAAGAAAATTTACAAATGATAAAATGACAATTTATTATCAGACAGAATATTACGAGATTTTGCACCAAAAGACAAGGATAAAGCACGTTTTACAGTATGTCCAGCCTTTTCCACGTCTTACACCAAAGAGGAGAAATGTAGTGGCGGATCAGTAGAGGGTATGGGGGGGGGGGGTTCTGAGAGCGAGCGAAGAGCCCTACATATTTGTTTCGTTTTATTAAAGTAAAACAATATATCTCTATGGTTAAGTTTAAACTTTAGGTTTAATCTTTAAATGTAAAAAATACTTTAAAACCATCAAACTTTCGACATAGTTAGTTTGACCAAAATGTGCACGGAGACGCAGAGCACAATGAGTAGTTTGCTGACTAATAATGTATTATGTATGTAAGAAAATCCTGTAATGTCGCATGCAAATGTTCAAAGTCACAGGGATATATTAATTAACAGAAAAATTTAAGATATTTTAATAACAGATCAAACATACCAGTTTCTACTTGCTTCGTTGAAAAGGACCAATTGGTTTGCGGCCGATATTTGACGCTTGTGTCAATATATGTTTCTTTTTTATTTTGCCAAGTGCGATGTTTATCAGACATAAATATACACTGAAATGACATCAGCCATGCATTTTGCAATCCTTTAAGCATGCTGTTGTGGAGCAAATACGGATTAACAAAATGTATTCGTTCACACTGCAATGGAATAAATTATAACATTTAAATGGCAAATATTATAGTGCCCTGAATATTGTATTTTACAGATCAATTCGAACTGTGAAATCCTGTACTGAGCCATACAAGAGTGCTTGTGCAGCAGATCAGACTTTTACGGGGATCATGGGTAGTATGACTCAGGCTGCTATGCTTTGCGGTAACTACTAATTAGTTATATATTTGACCTTTGAATGAAATACAAGCAGATTCAAAGAATAGCCACAAACCCTGGCTCCCTTGACTAGGATGCAATAATTCATGACATAATTGTACTATCTTTGTGCCCTCTCTTGTCTTTCGATCAAATCAAGATTTAAACATTTTTGAATTAGTAAAAGTTAGGACCAAGATAATTTAAAAGATACATCAGATTTTAATGTCAGTCCGTGAGTGTAAAAATAATCCTTCTTCTACAATATATTGTCATTAGTACAATTAAAACATGTGTTTGAAAGAACGCATGTGTTGCCTGTTTTGTTACTCCATTAAAGATAGATCAAAATTAAACGTCAAGGGGTCAGATATGCATTTGGAAAAATCTAATCACCGGTAATGAACATGTAAAATATGCAAGCAATGTCATTTCATCTTTAAAAGTTAAGGTTATGAAAAACCAAGGTTAATGTTTTCTGTTGTGACAGACAGATGAATGAGATTCAGTGGTGTCCCTTCGCGTTCACAAAAGTATGGGACAACAAAAAGTTTTACTCTCAAAGGGGAAACAAATTTTAAGTTCTGCTTGAATTTCAGCATATTTTCTCTTTAATAAGAATTAAAACTTAAATGCATTGATCGGCTTTAAATCGATCATAAACCTTTTCGTGTTGTTTTTTGAAAAAAAAAAATCAAAAAAGAATTTCTTTCTTAGTTCAAATCTAGAGCGATCATTCACATCTTACTTAGCACTATGAAGTAAAAAAAAATCTAAACAGAGATGAGAGACAAGGAAATGTTCAACGTTTCATTTTGTTTTGTTTTTTTAGGAGATTCTGGTTGCAATTTAATGAAATGCTACTCAGATGCTGGGATTTCTATGTACAATACAGGAGGTGGCTCACCAAATATCAGCTGGTAAACTCCTGTACACCTATATGTTTATTATATAATATGTATTTATTATCGAAAAGTTTGCATCTTATATAATGTAAAGTTTCTTTTGCATTTGTTGATCGTTATATAAATATAGCCTTTTGGTTATCCATAGATATATCAATTTCACAGAAAAGCATATTGACCGAGCTCGAAGTGCGAGGTCTTTATGCTTTTTGTGAAGTTGATACATCTGTGGATTGACGGAATTTTATTATAAAACTATTATAACAGAGGGTTTGTTATTAATTAAATGGCATCCCTCAAAAATGTTCTCATGACAAGCCTATTTTCCAGAAAAGTTGAAACTTATGACATTGTGAGAGCTTCATTACATATTGTAGACTCAAGTTTGTTCAAATCATTTTTTCATCATTAGTACCCCGCAAGGATTTGCGGATGCCATATAGTAATCACTCTGTCTGTCTGTCCGTCTGTCTGTCATTCTTCCTTCCACAAATTTTCTGTTTTTTTAAATAACTTTTTTATGGTTGCCAAGTTAAGTTCAAATTTGTTTGATAGTTAAGTAGGCAGAAAGACATATTTTGATGCTAAGTTTGGTTATCAATATCTTCTGGTTTGGAGCTGAGGTGGTGGGGTAGATTCCTTAACTATGCATAAGAATGAATGGGCAAAGAGAAATAACTGCTAAGAATGTTCCTACTGTAAACTGTGAAAGCTGTGCTACGAGTCCCTTGGGATAAATTAACCTTCCACTTGAAGAAAACATTATATTTGTCTGTCGCATTGAGATTAATTACTGTACCACCTCTGTCTGCAAATGAAGTTTGTTTTGAAGTTAAGGTCAATTTTGAATAATGTGTTCATTCTCTGAAATATGGATTTAAATAAGGTTCATGCTTTAATTTGGTTAAAATTTTTGTACACAATTAGTGATTTTATTGAATTCTAAAAAACAAGATATATATTAAGATATGTTTTTTTATTATTATTTTATTATTTTATTTTTTAAATTAATTACAGCTTCTTTAATGCTGTTTAATTTTTAACAGGTAATCAGATAATAACCCAAGTCTGTCATTGCTGAAAAAAGTTCTTTTTGTTAATTTAAAAGAAAAGGATGAAAGAGAGCTGTAAAAGTAATCCCCTGGGATAAATTATCTTGTTTCTGCAGAAAATTGAGAGGCTTATCTTTATCTGCCACATGAAAATTAATGAACACCTACTAAGTCCTTTGTCTGCAAATTATGTTTGTTTGAAGTTATGGTCAACCCTGTGTGATATTTGCATTCACTGAAGACTAGCATTTTATAAAACACCTGCTTAAATCATTTTTTAAAACACACATTTAATTGAGTTATTATAAGACATGATGTTTTCCCTGTTTTATGTAAATACAAGGTTACTATTTACAGGTTTTGGACATTCAGGAATTATCTTGAAATTTTGAAAATACAGCTGTTGCTTATATTCTTCAATAGTTTTAAAATGTTTTTGTAATCAAGTAAAATCCTCCTTCCATGAGCTGAACCCTTATAGTTCTACCCCTCAGCGGGGCCCTTACTGACTGGTCAGTTTTCTAGTTAAGTTGTGAGACCAAAAGAAGATAAAAATATGAAAGGAAAACAAAGAAATCTTTTAAAATATTCTTAAGAACAGCAAAGTAATGATTTGAATTTTTAATGAAGAAGATGTTAAGTAGATTCGAATTTAATGTTCAAATCATGGTCCCTGGGAGTAGGGGGAGGCAATAAGAGATAAAATTGCTCATAAGAATAAATGAAAATGGGATTTATCTTAAAGTAACTACTTAAGAACAGCAAAGTCATGATGAGTCATTTTGATATAGAACCATTCCTACGAAATGTTGATTCAGTTTTTTTTTAAATCTTGACCCGACTTTGATAAGGACAAGGCCACATAAGGTAATGAAATTCAAGTTTTATATTGAAGGGTATAAAAAATAAAATCTTTAGAAATCATTTAACCAAGGACAGCAAAGCCATAATAAGTCATATAAACATTGTATATATTACAGGGAAAGTTTTTTATGTTGTAACCAACCCCTTTATTTTAATTTTACAATAGAATATGTTCAAAACAACATGAAAAAAGTTTGTTCATTCATTAATTAAGGATGGAACCACTTAGAATGTATTTAAACTGAATGTTTTTATATTGAAATTCATTCATTTCAGTAATGGTTTTATGTCATTGAAAATCTGTGTAGAAAGCCAGGAATCGGCCTGTCAGCAGAATCCAATTTACTCAAGTGTTCAGGAATCTCTCAAGAAAGTAGAAGTAATGTGTGGCTATCCAGGTAGAATGAAAATAATAAATAAGGAATTAAATTCCTCTTTAAACTGCATGTTGTGCTAAGGCGGGTATTAGATCAATTTCTATATGTTGTACTTTTGTTTGATTCCTTCTTAGCTCACTTGAGCTTTACTGAACATCTTTCGTCCAAAGTCTGTCCATCCATCTGTTTGGACATACACCGGACAGCAGGTGATAAAAAAGCTTATAAGCCTTCTCAAGAAAAGAGGGATGTGTCACAATAGGGAATTCAAGTTTTACATTGAAAAAAAAAATAAAATAGGAAAAATCATCTTCTCAAGAACCACTTGGCCAGAAAAGCTAAAACTTTTATGGAAGCTAGCTTTCTCTAAAGGTAGTGTACATTCTAAACTAAACAAATCATGGCTCCAGGGGATAGGGTGAGGCTACTATAGTGAATAATATTTTTACATTTGATAAAGAACAGCAAAGCCATGATTGATCTTCAATATAAAAGCATCAAAAAAGGTAATGTAGATTTAAATTGTCCAAATCATGTCCAACCAGGAGACTAGAGGAGCCATTAAAGTGTCTGTGAAGTATGTGAATAAGTGGCATTATATATTTTATTTAAGTATTGAAATATCGAAAAAGTAAGTTTTCCCGACAAAATCGGTTTAATGAAGGAGATATTGGCAAAAAACTGAAAATTTTAAAAAAAATACACCTTTGCGATAACGAAAACGAGGCCATTACTAGCAAAAGTGGATATGACGTCACAACACATCAGTTTGCGCCATTTTTAGAAAGTCCCCTATAGAGTTCTGCGTAGTTTCCGAGGAATGATAGCCAGTAAAAGTGTTGGACGCATGAGTGTTGTTGCAGGATGTAGCAATAGACAATCGGACGGCGTGTCAGTTCATGAAGGCAGACTGGTCTGGTCCTTCGAAGTATACCGTTATCTGCAGTGACCATCTTAAACCTGATTGCTATGAGGTCCATTTCTCACTCATGCAAGATTTTGGTATTCACACAAAGAAGCGTCTACGCCAGGGCTCCATACCCAGCATATATCCCAAGCGGAAACGTGACGAACTGATTGATGCGTTCTTGGAGCCTCCCCATATCAACACCCCTCCAGTGCGAGGAACCCATGCGAAGCGCGAGAGGAGCAGGGTTAGTTTTTTTTGTAGTAATTTACTTTGTTTTAATCTAGTAGATATGTTGATGATTCGATAAAAAAAAATACCTTCGGAAATTTTAAGACTTGTGTGTAAAATCGGAACAAGAACATAAATATGATAAAGAAAGAAATTTCTAGACTTACGTTTAAAATAAGAAAATAGCAGGCATAAAAAAAGAGTTCGTTTGCACTAAAATTGCTTATTTGTAATTGTTTAATAGAAAGTGTTTAAACTACATTGAGTATTCACCGAAATGTCTTACTTATTCAAATTCATATGTTTCATAGTCATAAGTGATTTAAAAAAATATTATTTTATCACAGATATTAGCAGATGCTTCAAGACAATACAACTGTTGAAGAAGTACATGGAGAGTCACAAGACCAGCCTGAGGATGAATGTGCTAGGATCCAAATGACGCCTGTCCCCGTACCCTTGCCTGTTCCGGTATGTAATATCACAAACATGTTTAAAAGAAAAGAAAAAGAGACAAATGTATATTTTGTTACGTTTAAGTTCAACTTCAGCTTTTATATGTTTACACATTTAGTACTAAACCAACTGAAAAGAAAGAATGATTGTATTAGTTTTCTCTTTTTATTCCATGTGCATCTTTTTTATCTTGTGTTAGAGCATATTTTTTAAAAAAGGAAATCTAGATTCACATCTAATTCTGTTTCAATTTCTTCTCAATTACATTCTTCATTTTGATTCCCATCGAAATCGGTATTCAACTTTTGTTATTAGTCCCATGAAGAAAAGATTTTTACAGCTGACATTGACAAGTTAGTTATTACTGCATAATTTCTTAAGGTCATACGCAACGTAGTTTGAACAATGATGGATTCTTCCCTGGAGTTGAAGAGTTCCACTAAATGAAGGACCTGTGTGCAATACTTTTAATGTCTATGTATGGATTTGTACACCTTTTCTAAAACAAATTTTGATGGGAAAAAAATCTGGAATTTACGTTTTGTAGTTTTTGTATATTTTTCTTTGAATAAGGCAAAAATTTTCATAATTTTATATCTTCCAAAAACCCCTGGTAATGCATGCTGATTTTTTGTCTATGAACATCTGATGGCACTGTAATCTTAAATTAAGAATATCTTGAAAAGTTATCAGTAGGTAAGGTATGTTGCGTATGTCCTTAAACAAGGATAGATTGGTGAGGATCTGATATACAAAACAAGAATTATGAAGGAAAAGAGAGAAAAATATTGCTGTAAAGTACGTAGCTCATAATTATACTTCTACGGATTGCTTATTAATTTCTTGTCTGTTTATTTTATAAGGAGAAAAGTGTGTCAATGGCATGTCAGACAGAATCATCACGAACCGGAAAACGTAGTGTAAAGATTCAAGTAGCTGCAAGGAATAAGGAGAAAGGTACTCATACAAAGTAACTTCTTGCAACATACGAGGGTCGTTAGAAAAGTTCGCGGACACATTGAATTACGGAAAATCTGTTGTGTATTGTGAAGTATGACCTATGTCTGAATAAATTCCTACATTTTGTTTATTGGTATGTAAAAAATCAGGTCCATATAATAAAATCTTGAAAATTTAAAACGATTTTTACTATGAGATCATGGGATTCACGGAACAATCACTGACGTAAGGCAACGTGACAACCATATTTCAACCCGTTAAAATTTGTCGCCGTTCTATAAATCTTTCATTTCTCCAGATTTTTCTGATCTTTTTTCTACTTTAAAATTGAATATTTATATCAAGACATGTTACTTTTATTCTATTATGTCTTATGTACTGATTTGGATATTATTGAGATCTTTAACAAAGTCTATGCAGTTAATCGAACAGGTATGGAAACTATGCAATACCATATAGGCGCAACACAGCGTCCATGCGATATGGGGGTATTGAAGTATCGATGGAGTTAATCATTCAAAATGTTAATCCTTCCATTCTTTTGAAGCTACAACCATTTGAAAACTTTTTTAGGTGTAGGAAATTCCCGGCAGCATCTTGAACATTTTAATCTCTTTTTAGACATTTTCCGGTCTGCATACATAATTTATACGTAGTGCAGTGCTCCATGACGCTCAATGACGTTCCGATTTTTGGCTGTGTTTTTACGCGTTTATCATTTATAAACGGCTTTAAAACAGTCATGTACCCTCCAATTTAGTTCAAAATTTCTCCCAGTGACATTTCATGAATACTGTAGCGGCAGGTAAAATATCATTAGTCCCTTTGCGCTACAGTTGTGCAATTTTTAATTTTAATAAAGAGTCTTTGTGATGTAAACGTGCCAAAATGTAGCATGCTCCGTGAAGCAAGTTTTATCAAAATTAAAAAGCTGTATATTTTTCAATAATCACCGGAGGGCACCAAATTCTTGTATATTTATTGGAAAAAAGGTGAAGATTTTATCTGGAAAGTTTGACCGGTTTCGTGGAAATAGCGCGCTCACTTTAATAGAACTTGTCCGCGAATTTTTCTAACACCCCTCGTATTATTGTAAAATGCTTAATTTTCATTGTTTATATTGTTTGATTTATACTGCAATATAAACCCGGTCAATCAATCTGATCAATCTGATTCCCCATGGTTAGTAAGTTTTATATTTATACAAAGGAATATAAATGTTATATCAATTAAAATTTTTATCTTATTAACAGCGAAGCTATTGTGTTATAATATTTAAAAAGCATCCGTCGGAAGTATAATTTTAAGTTTGTTCAAATAACCCCTCTCCCCTGAACCCACTTTTATATTTAAACTTTTCAATACTGGACTGATTTTTTGCTTTTATCTAGCAAATTGCTCAGGTGAGTGATGTGGCCCCTGGACCTCTTCTTGAAAGGTAGGTCAAACTCCTGAATCAAAGTCAAAGGGTCAACGTTGTTGGTTTCTTAAGAAAGGTCTTGTCACAAGGATTATGTATGTGAAGTATGAAAGCCATAGCCATAACCCTAAAAAATTGATGTCTAAGGTTCACGTTTTTAAAAAAAAAAATAGGTCAAACTCCCTGGTCAAATGGTCAAAGTTCTTGGTATCCAATGAAAGGTCTTGTCACATTGAGCATAAAGTTTGAACAGGTGATGCTGGCGTTTTATATTTCACATTTCTATTATATTATACAACATTCTATGAAGTATAAACCTCTGCATGGGTACACCACAAATGTTATGATCTTCAAATATAGTTTTTGGAATATAGTTGAAAATAGTTCACAGTCGATGTCACACAGGTGAAAATAATTATAAAAGAAAAAGAAAATGAAGTTTCCAAATTTCATTCATTGTTTATTAAGACTGAAAAATATGTGATTTATTGTCCATTATTGTCCAATTTGATTTTCCCTAACTTTTACGTAACGTAGCCATACTATGACGTCATAGATTACTTCCTTCCCTGCAAAGACTCTCATGACGTCATAGTTAACGTTACTAAGCAAAACAATCACTTCAATTTATGTACACCTGAAGACGGATTATTAAATCCAGAAAGCGCTTGTGTTGAATGAAATTTGGAAACTTCATTTTCTTTTTATATATATATATATATATATATATATATATATATATATATATATATATATATATATATATATATATATATATATATATATATATATATCTTGAGGCCATTTTTTTTTATTAGTTGTTTTACGGATACGCCGACCCCATTTTTGTAAGTTTTGGAAAAAAAATAAAAATTCCATTCAATCCTTTTTTTATAATCGCCGATCGAACTTTACTTCAAACACAAAAAAAAAATCCGGAAATGACCGTACATTGTTTGAATTTTACTTAGTTGTGATCAGAATCATGTAAATGCTTCCACTATTGACCCTTTAAAAAAAACTCTGCAAGCGTTTTATAGTCAGAGCATGAGCAATAAGTATGACCGCCATGTGAAACATTTTAGGTTTTTCAAAACAGAATATAAATGTTTTAAGGACAGTAGTATGACGGTTTTTATGAGCTGTTCAGGCTGGTGATTATTCTATATATGATGTCATCTGATCAGCGAATGGAGTGTGGTGGTTGAGGAAATTACAGCCAAAACCAACGAATCTGATGTCGTCACTTGCACTCCATCCGACACCCATTACTTTTCTTTGAGGGTTTGGCGAAGTTTTAAACAGTTATATCTAATGGTTAGTTAACCGTTCATATATTATTTATGACATTTTTAAAAGCACATGTTTGACTGTAGTTTAAAAGTCTGCAAGACGTGTTGTTAAAGCTTCAGAGAAACAAGACTTTTTTGTCATTGTACAGGTATGAATCTATCAAATGATGTGAAAGAAATGTTTCTTAAAGTTTTAAATTTTAGATTTGGAAAAGGAACTGACTCATCAGGATGTTCTAAGACAAAAAATGTTTGTATGAGAGTCGTAGGAATGTGAAACCCTATGGGGATGACTTATCATTCTAGTAAGTTTATTTGTGTCCATTGATTGTGCACTGAATTTTAGTTTAATGTACTGTTTAATACTGTTTAAGAAAAGGTATTATCTGAATTTGATTAAACTTTTATTATTTTACAGGGGGTTGTGTAAAATTTGCTGAAGTGTGTTTTTCTGTGGCAATGTGGATGTAGCAGTGAGAGGACACTCGTATCCAGTCATAGACATAGTGATACACAGAAAAGTTTAGCATTGTTCACATAATATGTCTCTCTGCTCAAAGAATCGTTCTCTTTTAGTGAGGAATGCCAAGAAAGACATTTCTGTGCAATGTTCTGAGGTTGATTTCCTCAAATGCTTTGATATTCTGCATATTAAAAGTTTTGAACATTGAATACTTCTTCTTCTTTTTTTTTTTTTGTAGCCACCCAATGGACATTTTCCAAAAAAAAATCCGTAAAACAACTAATAAAAAAAAAAATGGCCTGAGTGACTCTAACCTTATTCTGCACTTGAAGAGCATGAATTCCCTTAATCCCAAAATCCCTTCAAGAAAATTCATTCTGAAAATAGCAATTCTTTCAAAATTAAAACTCTAGAGAAGGAAAATTGCTTTAGAGTAGAAATTTCCGCAGAAGAAATTCCACAAATTTCAGATAAATACAGTATATATTATGTATGGTGTTATGGGTCAGAATTACCCGAAATGCCAGCAAAGATCAATAACACAATTTAAACTTAACAATAATTTATTTACAGTAATATATAATAAGTGTATGAAACATAAAGTACAAACTTAGCAAGAATCTAAAAATACATACATCAGAGTGTCCGTTACTGCACACAATGTCCCATTGAAAATATATCCCAGTTATATCTCAATAGTGCTTATACGACAAAGTATATCTGATTATCTATGTGTCGAATTGACAGGGTATTTATACAGTAATATAAATCTAGAATATTCTAGACATTGTTAAAACATGACATTACTGGAACAATCTGGACATACACAAAATTTAAGAATGTTCTAGATAAAATGACCGAACATTTTGACCACTCTGGAATGTTCAAGAAACTTAATGCTACTAATTATATACATAATGAAAGAATACACATATCACAACACCTCCCCCCTTAAAAAGTTTGAATGTCAATGAAAACTTATATTATTAAAATAAAATTTATGTACAAAATCTAGTATGTTTACGATACTCTTGACAAGGCGTCTGCAATAACATTGTCTTTGCCTTTGATATGCTTAATTGTTATGTTGTATTCTTGTAACAACAAACTCCATCTAGTCAGTCTTTGATTCTTGTTTGACAATTTATGCAAAAATGTCAGGGGGTTGTGATCCGTATTTACAAGAATTGGATGCAAAGTAACATTCAGATAAACATCAAAATGCTGTAAGGCTAAAAACAAAGCAAGGCATTCCTTTTCAATGGTGGAATACTTTTGTTGACATTTTGTAAGTTTCTTGGTTTTACAGAATTTCGGTCACACCTTTCAAAATACTCTTTTAACATGTTAATGTGACAAACCCGTTTCTCTTTACGTCGACCTGGTGTCTTAACTACATAGTTTACATTACTGATCTTGCTTTCAATTTCATAAGGGCCATAAAATCTGGCCTGTAAAGGATGACCAGGGATAGGTAAAAAAACAAGAACCTTATCACCTGGCTTAAACACCCTATTTCTGGCATCTTTGTCATACCACATTTTCATTTTCATCTGAGAATTCTTCAAATTTTCTTGTGCTAATTTACAAGCATTGTAAAGTTTTTCTTTGAAATCAGACACATAATCTAAAAGATTAAGATCACTAGTCTCAGTCAGTCACTTTTCCTTCAACAATTTCAAAGGACCTCTAATTGTATGACCGAACACCAATTTAAAAGGACTGAACCCAAGAGACTCCTGGACTGCTTCTCGTGCAGCAAATAGCACAAGATGAACCCCTTCGTCCCATTCTTTTTCATACTGGTAACAATAAGTCTTCAGCATTGTTTTTAGGGTTTGATGAAAACGTTCTAGCGCTCCCTGGGACTCAGGATGATAAGCAGTTGATCTATATTGCCTTATACCCAACTCATGCATGACTTGCTGGAACAACCCCGACATAAAATTTGAGCCTTGATCCGACTGAATTGCCTTGGGTGCTCCTACAAAACTGAAAAACTTGGTTAGGGCCTTAACTATGCTCTTTGCCTTTATATTCCTTAGAGGTATGGCTTCAGGAAATCGAGTGGATGTACACATAATGGTAAGTAAATATTGGTTCCCAGATCTAGTCCTAGGCAAAGGTCCTACACAATCCACCAACACTCGACTAAACGGTTCTTCAAAAGCTGGAATGGGTTGGAGAGGAGCAGATGGTATCTTCTGATTTGGTTTACCTACCATCCGACAGACATGGCATGACTTGCAAAACTTCGAAACATCCTTTCTTAGCTTAGGCCAATAAAAATGACTCAAAATCCTATTATAAGTCTTATTGATATCTAAATGACCTGCCATGGGTGTATCATGAGCTAAACTCACTACATCTTGACGATAAGCAGCTGGTACCACTATGTGATGAACAACACGCCACACTTCATCTGCGGAAGCGTCAGGTGGTCGCCATTTTCGCATAAGGATGCCATCTTTCATATAGAAGCATTCTCCAACTTTTGTGGCTTCTTCTGGTGGAAGTGCCCTCTTACTAAGTTGGATGATATCTGGATCTTTTTGTTGTTCTGAAAGTAAATGCTCTCGGCTCAGGAAGTCCTTGTCTTGGTTTACTGATAGATTTAACTCTTTTTCATCGCCACTAAATTTTGACAAAGGTTCATTCGTCACCGGCTTCTTGATATTGTGTAGTTCCATGCTTGTATGAGTGCCATCAAGGTCAGATAAGAAAGTGTCACTCAAATCAATATCAACAGAGGAATTCATCTCATCAAAGGCTTGAGTATGGTCTGCCTCCATTTCTCGTCTTCTGGCCATCGCTCTAGTAACAGCACAGGCTGGATAAATGTCATCATCTTCATTATTATACATGACATCTGGAGTGATTTTCTCACAAACTATAGCATCAGGTACAACCTTCCCACCAGCTAAATCGTTGCCTAACAACAAAGAAATGCCTGGAACGGGAAGAGTAGGTCGAACACCTACGATAACAGGTCCAGTAACCAAATCTGACTTTAAACTAATTCTATGCAGGGGAACATCAATGACGCCTAGCTCCACACCCTGTAATAAAACTGACCCACCAGTAGAAATCTGCTCAGACAAAGGAAGCACGCCCTCTAACAAGAATGTCTGTGCAGCACCAGTATCTCTCAAAATCTGGACAGGTTTTATTTCGCTAGAGTCACCGAGTGAAACAAATCCCTGAGACATAAAGGGCTTATAATCCTCCATAGAATCAATAGAACTGGACTGTGAACCCTGGACATCAGGAGTGTCAGAACAAATCGAAACTAAGGCTTCTCTATCACCTCTAACTGCCGCACAAGCGTGTGGTTGAGTTTAATCAAAATCATTTTTTCTCTTAAGTTTAAAGCATTCACTGATCAGATGACCTTTTTTCTTACAATAACTACAAGTAGGAAGCGACCCAATTCCAGAAGATCCTTCAACACGTCCTGGACCGGACTTAAAACCACCTGGTGATGGAAAGTGGAGACTTGTGGAAGACTGAGACCCTGAACCACTCTTTTTGTATGTGTCTGAATTGGTAGAATTACTGCTAGTCTGAGATCTTGATACAAAATTCTTTTTATGGGACAGAGCATAAGTATCAGATATGACCGCTGCCTCTTCAAGAGTTTTCACATTCTTATCTTCTAAATGTGTTTTCAAATCTTGAGGAACACATTCCTTAAACTCTTCTACCAGGATGACTTGGCGCAAATTAGCAAAAGTTTTATCAAGTTTCTTAGATCTAAACCAGTGATCGAATAAATCTTCTTTCTCTCGTCAAAATTCAACAAATGTTTGATTATCAAACTTCCTATACTTTCTGAACTTTTGTCTATACGCTTCAGGTACTAATTCATATGCTTTTAATATTGCTGCTTTGACCTTCTCATAGTCTGAACTCTCAACTACCCCTAGTGCAGAGTATACCTCAGCCGCTTTTCCAGCAAGTACACTTTGTAACATTGTTGACCAAACATTTCGTGGCCATTTAAGATTCTCTGCGACCTTTTCAAATTGGTGAAAATATTTGTCTACAGATTTTTCTTGAAATTTTGGAACTAATCTGATATTTTTTGCTGCGTCAAATTCAGTTTTGACAACTGACGGTTCTGGTTGGTTTTGTAATTTTAATTTCTCTAATTCAAAGTTCATTGCACGCTCTTCTCTTTCTGCTGCTAATTTGTCTAATTCAAATTTTCGTTCACGCTCTCGTTCTTCTCTTTCTCTTTCTCGCTCTTCTCTTTCTTTTTCTCGATCTTCTCTTTCTAATTTTTCTCTTTCTAATCGCATTTTCTCTAACTCTAATTGAAACTGATATTCTGCCATTTTGTAAGAGCCTAACTCTGATTTAATTGTATATTCTGGATTATCATATTGTTCAAAGACGTTTTCTTCTACTAGTTTGTTTGCAACCTTAATTCTAATGTCTTGCTTTTTCTGAGAGGATTTAACATCTAACCCAAAATGCAAACCTAATGCAATCAAGTCATCCTTTTTTAATGTATCAAAAACCTGAACACTTGGTGAACTAAGAAAGTCTGTGACCGAAAATACCATGTTGATTTTTGCTGGCTTATAATCAAAGAGCTAAAGCCACGAACCACCGAAATATGCCTTAACTAAAAAATCAATGAAAAGTTCAATAAAGATAGTGTAGACTTGTAGCATTTCAGAACTGTTTTCCTTTTTTAGATATCTATAATACTTTTTCAAGGAGAAAATTGACAGTATGGCATTGTTTCGAATGAAATTTACATGAGGAACGTCATTATTAGTAACGTAACGTCATAACATCGTAAAAGTATTTAGAACATTCTTCAGTTACTGCTTACCTTTGTAAACCCGAGCGTTACAATTGTTTTTTTTTTCCTGTACATGATGTAGTTTTAAAAGTATTTAATACTTTAGACATATGTCACTGCATTATATAACATAATTATTATCTGAAATAATAAATTCTGAAAAGTTTTCAGATTTTGTGACTGGATAAATAAAAAGTGAAGCCGGGCGCAGTAATTATTAAATCTTTT